GATTATAGGCACCTGGCACCGTGTGTGGCATGTTTGTTTATTTATTTATTTTAAAGAAGGAAAAGTTTATTTAGGTCACAGTTTGTGGAGGTTTCAGTCCATTCTTGGCTGGCTCCAAGGCAGGGTGGCACGTGGCAGAGGGCAACAGCTCACAGCAGCAGAAAACAGCAAAAACAACAAGAGCAAAAAGGGAGAAACTTTTTTTTTAATCTTTTTTTTAAATTTTATACAGGGTCTCACTACATAGTTCAGGCTCATAGTGATCCTCCTGTCTCAGCCTCCCTAGCAGGGGGATTATGGGCATGTGCCACTATACCCAATTTTTGTGGCTGATGGTGCCCTTGGGGTCCCAGGGCTGGGATGGCATGTGGTACCAGGGATCGAACCCAGGTCCTTGTACATGCCAGGTAGGGTCCTAGACTGCCAAATTATTTCACTAGCCCTTTTTTTGGTTTCTTTGAAAAATGATCTCGCTGTGTATTCCAGGCTGGCTTTGAACTCAGTGTGCAGCATAGGTGAACTTGTAGCAGTTTTCCTGCCTTAGCTTTCCAAGTGTTGGGATTCATTTTGATTTTAAATGGGATTCTACATTTATAAAACAAAATGTTTCTCATTCTGGCCCAGAGTTCCCAAGTTTAACCAATTCTCAGCCTTCAAGGAGCATGTCATCATAACTGGCACTTAAATTCTGATATTTGGATTAAAATCCAAACTTCTCCCTATGGCCTATAAAGGACTTGAAGAGTTTGTCTCCTGCCTATCTTTCTAATCTTTTACTGTATCAGTTGATCTTGCTCTCCCTCAGTGAGCACCAGCCTTCATGTTTGTACTTCTCACTCTTGTAAAGTTCTTCCATCTCTCTCCTTGCTTCCTTCAGATCATTTATGTGTCATATTAAATGTTGTCTCCTGAATAAGGCCACCTCTGATAAACTTGCTTGCATAGCACTCTTTTACTATGATGCATAATATTTTTTTTTAAATTCATGTATTTGGTACAGGGTCTCACTACATAGCTCGGACTCTAGTAATCCTCCTGTTTTCAGCCTCCCCAGCACTGGGATTACAGGCAGGCACCACCATTCCTGGACTCGGTGGCCAGCTCAGCATGTCCAGGGTGCAGCATGACATGTGGTGCCAGTGATGGAACCCCTGTCCCTGTGCTTGCCTACGCAGGTCCTTCGTCCACTGAGCTATCTTGCCAGCCCTACTATGATGCATAATATTAATATTATTTGTTGGTGCTTTTTTTAAAGATAGGGTTTCACTATGCAGTTAAATTCAGTCTGGACTTGAACTCATTGTGTAGCCCAAACTGGCCTTGAACTCATGGGAATGCTCCTGCCTCAGCTTCCTGAGTACTGAGATTACAGGTATGCGCTACCATGCCCAACTCTTTGCTTATTTTTATTGTATACTGAAATGGGAGTCACAAGAATACAGGACCAGGGGCCGGGGAGATGGCTCAGTAGGATAAGCGCTTGACTGACAAACGCAAGGATCTGAGTTCAATCCCCGGTTCTGCAAAAAAAAAAAAAAGAATACAGGACCAGAATCATGTCTGGATCTACAATTAAATGTGATTAAGTATGCATTTAATGAATGAATAGGGTTTGGGCTAGGCTCTAAAGGCTGAGCAGTGTTCCAGGAGGACAGAATGAAATGAACGAAGATCTGAAGCCAAGGGTAACCATAGTCTGTCCAGACAGACATCAGTTCAGCTTCAGCTGATAACTATTTGGGGACTAGTGAAAATGGAGGTTGGGGACACCTCTTGCTGGCTATAAACCTGCAGGATAGATTGAAGAATTGGGACTTTATTCTGCTGATGATAGGGAGCTATTGAAGATCTTTGAGTTAAGGAGTAGCCCAATGAAAGTGTATTTTGACTTTTTCCTCTTTTTCCAGTGCTAGGATTGAACCCAAAGTCTCGAACATACTAGGCAGGTGCTGTACCACAGAGCTGCACCCCCTACCCCCTAAATATGTACTTTGAGAAAATTAATCAGCATATGCTGTAGAGTAGACAGAAGTAGATCAGCTGCATAATTTTCAGGATGCAGTTTAAAATGAACATGTGTGGTTCTTTGTTCAAAAACTAGAAAGAATCAGATGAAGGAGCACACATTGTAATCCTATCTATGTGAGAGAATAAGGCAGAAGGATCGTGAGTTTGGATGAGTGTAGGTAGATTAACAAGGCCCTATCCTAAAATTAAAAAAAAAATCTTTAAAAGAGTTGGGAGAGTAGCTCAGTGATATAGTGCTTGCCTAGCATGTGAGAAGTTCTGGGTTCCAGAGCCAGGATAACACAGTATCTCGGGGCTGGGGAGATGGCTCAGTGGAATAAGTGCTTCCCTGACAAGCACAAGGGTCTGAGTTCAATCCCTGGTTCCACCAAATAAAAAAAATAAAAGATGTTTGGGGCCAGGGATATAGCTCAGTGGCATAAGCGCCTGCCTGGTAAGTGCAAGGTCCTGAGTTCGATCCCTGGTACCGCCAAAAAAACAAAACAAAACAAAAAACACAGTATCTCTCTCTCTCTCTCTCTCTCTCTCTCTCTCTCTCTCTCTCTCTCTC